TCCTGGTAAAGGGTGGACTAGATTCCTTATCCTCAGGGTCTGCCTCTTTAAGCACTGATCTGAACAGCTTCCGAAAGGAACCAATACAGGATCGAGTAGTAATTGATGGTGATTGTCTTCGTTCAGCTTTGAAAACCAAGGCACTGATATCAAGACTAAAGAGAAATTACATAGAACTGGTATGATTGAAAAAAGTTTGGCTCTTCCAAGGGATTTTATTTATTTATTTATTTTTTGGTTTTCAATGACATAGAGTTAAGCTTTTAAAATCACGCTTCATTGAATCTCATCCAAACCTCCGAGGACAGGGCTAGGGGACCTTTTTTCTTTAGAAGGCCACTGACCCACAAAGAAAAATCCAATCAAGGGCCTTGTACAAAAAGCAACTTAATTTAGGTGCTTCCTTAGAAAACCGTAAAGCATTCAACTTACCTGCTTTTTAAATGAAGATCAGGGAACTCTAAATCAACAAATTAAAAAAAAAAAAAGAAAAGGAAAAGGAAAAAAGCCTCCGGGTTCATATTCAGGGCTGTCCGAAGCTACACAGGAGAGTGATGAAGAACAGTCCGGGGAGAGGGAAGGAGTGAAAGCAGCCAGGAAGCGATACATGGACAGAAGCCTGCACACAGCAGGGGTCATGGAAGGAGGAGGTTGAGCTAGGGAAACTGAGGAAACAAGAATAGCTTTGGGTCATGGCCTGCTGTTCACCTGAGCCATTGGACTAACTGGTTCACAACTTGCCAGCTCTTCCGTGGCTCTGCTACTTAAGCCTTTCAGGTACTAATTCTTATGGCAGTGTCTGTAGCAGAATTACGTAAGGCCCTTAAAAAAAAAAAAAACACATGCTTAGTACTTACCCCCATACTGTCTGCCCACCTGTGCCACATCAGGTCCTCTTGTCCCTGTGCTCACTCTCTCAGCCTAAAGCAAGCATCGCTCCATCTTTCGTAAGTGAGAAAGGATCACCAGCTTTAGAAAGATGATCTCTAGAAAGAATAGGCATTTGTCCTTCAGACACACCATTTTAGGAGCAGTCACAGACAAAGAGAATGTCTTTAAAATAATACGTGTGCCCTTTTAATATAAACCATTTGGGGCACTTAAAGTAGAAATATTCAAGTTCAAGATCAAGAGTGCTCTTCCAACAGAGCCAGCCAGGTGCCCCAGAAATAGTCAAGTTTTATTCATTTATTTTTAAAGATTTATTTATTTCTTTAAGCGTGAGCTACTGCATAGTGGTTGGGGTGGCTAGGGGCAGAAAGAGCGGGGATCCCAAACAGACTCTGCACTGAGCACGGAGCTTCAGATGGGGCTCGATCCCATGACACCGAGATCGCAACCCGAGCTGAAACCAAGAGTGGGACGCTTGACCGACTGTGCCACCCAGACACCTCGATGTTTTAAAAACCAAATGAGTGGTTTTAGTTCTTACCAGAATGTGGAGCTCGGATTCCATTTTCAAGTGCACGAAGACTGACCCACCCACCACTTCCTCCTTGTACTTCCCATCAACCGAAAGCAGTTGCGGCACCAAGCCCCCAGTAGCCTACGTGTGTCTAGGGATTTAATTCACAAGTGTGTCTCAGACTGCGTTTGTCTCAGGCAGGGCTTTGGGCAGGGATGTCAGATTACATTTTCAAGTAATGCTTTTTAGAAATACAGACTGAATAAGTGGTGTGTTCCAGGCTACATGGGCAAAAGTGGCCTGTTGGAGTGGGCTTCTTGAAACCAAGAGGAAGACGACTTTGCCAGAGGCAGCATTAGCCAAGGGTCTATCCCATTGTCATCCTTTACACAAGGCAAGCCTTTTACCATCAGACAGAGTCTTCCTGGAAAGACCTTCTCTCTGAAATGAAAGCAGACTCTCTTTGATTAGTTATTGCAAAAACAAACATGGAACCTAGTGTTCTGGTATAATCCAGAAGGTCGTGCTAAGGGCCCCCGATTGCTATGAAACAGGACGAGTAGCCTGACTGTGCTGGACTATCTATCTATTTATTTAAAGATTTTATTTATTTACTTGTGAGAGAGCGCATGCACACAAGCGTGGAGTGGGAGAGGGACAAGCAGACCCCGTCCAGAGTACAGAGACTGACGTGGGACTCAATCCCATGGCCCCCAGATTGGGTGGTCGGAAACCCAACCGACTGAGCCACCCAGGCGCCCTGATACGCCGGACCTTTTAGATGCTCTGCTGTATACATGTGTCTGTGGAAATGGCAGGTTACTGGTAACTTTTATTGCCATTAGACATTTTTGAAAGGTGTCTTAGTGTAAAATTCCTGTGGGTCAGTTTATACCCATCAATGTCTAGCACCTTCTTAAGTATAGAAAATTATTCTTTCCTGCTGTCTCTGAATTTTCTGGCTTCAGGTTGTGTGTGTGTGTGTGTGTCCGTGTGTCCCCGTGTGTGTTATGCATTAGGGGTGGAAAGAAGGTGCACTTTTCCTTGGGGTTAGAAACCTATTTTGATAGTATCCATGAAGTGGCCCCTTTGGTTTATTATATGTGTGAACCTGTTAAGATTCAGTGAACGTAGATTATTTTCCAAACTCGTGAATTGTTTTGCCTTGGCAATTCAGTGTATATCCCAATGGAATCTTTGCAGGTGTTTGAAAACCAGTATGCAATGAATTTTAGCCTGTGACAAACTTAAGAAGTAGCTGCTCCCTTAACTATAATTCATTTAAATAGCCCTTCAGTGTCTTAAGCTCTCACTCTGAGCATTCCAATTAGTTTTCTGTGTGGGGTGTGAGTGTGATGGATTATTTAACCCAACTATAGCAAGTTGGGGTCCTTCATATTATTTCACTTGTCAAGACCGTGTTGGGGGAAATCCTCAGCCCTGAAACCTGGAGACGACTGGATAGCTCTCTGTTAATTATGTGCCTTGGTACCAAGGGCCTGCTGTGAACTTGTTAAGCCAGGGAAGAGGGAGTTTTGTTTTTGGTTGTAACAAAGGTGTTTGCAGAAAACTGAGCCTTAGCAACCTGCTTCTTTGGCTAATGAGATCTGAGACACTGCAGCTTGACAACTCCTAAACTCTTATACCCGATCTTACCCCCCGCCCCCTGCCCTTTTTTGGTTAGATTGATCTGTTGACCAAGAGTTTCAAGAATGCCAAAAGAGACTTTCAGCAGTTTCTGGATGAGGAAGTTGTTTGAAGATTGTTTCCCTCCACCTTTTCCTAAATAGTCCTTGATTACTGTAACCCCCCCCCTTTTTGTGTAGCAGCAATATTCTCCCTAATTTTTAATTGTCGAGAAGGAAAGATGATCAGGCACACGTACGATTATGTAATTATTTGCATACATGCCGTAGACAGTCCTAGTTTGCTTAAGTCCATTTCATCTGCAGTGCCCCACCTCTCCAAAGCCATTGCGGTATCTATCTTAGGTCAAGGTCATTCTTGGAAACACAGTCAGCCAGGAAGCAGCAATGGCCAGCTCATGGGCCAGTTCATTTCCTTGACTGGTGGTGGTTGAGTGGCCCCTCATTCTCCAACCCTTTATTTATTGCATCCACTTATGGGAGTCAGGTGCATGTATCTTCAACATACTCTGTTCCTGAGTTCCCAAGGTATTGATTTGTTTTCAGACCCTTTGTCTTATGTGGAACGTGGATGGCAATAGCAGAAGGGGCAATGGCAGTAAGTCCTTGTAAACATCTGTAAAAATTAGATCACACCAATTCATGGCGGTGTGGCTCGAGGGGTAAGAACTATTGGGGTGCAGGTTTCAGTGGCACCCCATCTCTTGGGCATTATGAGGGAGAAGTATGGTCTCTGCAAAGCACAGTTGTGTTCTATGGCAGGAAGAACAAGGTGTGGGTGAACTTTGGGATCTTTAAAAAAAAAAAAAGCCCTCCAAACCTTCCTGTCCTAACTACAAGCAAACGTAGTTGGTGTAGAGGGAGAGAGATACCTTGTGGGTTGAGCTGCTGTGGAGTGATGCATCTTACAGCATTTCTCTTGACTCCTAGGACTACATCACTGCGTGAAGATGACATTTATTCGAAGCCGTTAGTCTATACTGGGATGAGTGGGCACTTATCCGGTATTATAAGGTCAGATGGTGTCTGACAACTGCACAAGAGGTGCCGAACGAGAAAATCTGAAATTTAAGGGTCATTTGCTGTTACCCTTTGTGACTTATCATAGCCTGAAATTACCCAGTGTGAACTCCCATTGTTTTCTTTTGGCCAACAACCCCTTGAGATCTACTTACCCCTTGGCTTCCCCACAGTATAACTACCGCTGGTGTGTTCGCTCATCATGTATTTGGCTGTCATATATTTTATTTATTTATTTATTTATTTATTTATTTTATTTGTTAGAGTGGGGAAGCACAGGGGAAGAGAGAGAGAGAGTGAGAAGCGGGCTCCCCTGCTGAGCAAGGAGCCCAGTGCAGGACTCAATCCCAGGACCTGGGATCATGACTTGAGCCAAAGGCAGACACTTAACCACTGAGCCACCCAGGCACCCCTGACATGTACTTTATAGAGATCATTCTTCATTAAGGGTGCCCTCTCTTGGAATGTAAACTCCCCAAACTTAGAAAAACTTACGTGTCATTTGTATGACTTCTACAGTATTTAGCATAGAATCTTGAATGATTTGTTTAATAAAAAAAAGAAAGAAAAGGTCTGGGTTGATCTTGAATGATAGTGTTTATTGGCCACACCGATTTTCCTGTAGTATAGCAATCTTCTTGATTCACATGTTCTTTTGTCTATCGTAGGTGGCTTTTCCATAAGGGAATGGGGTGCTTTTAGTTTATCCCCCAACATGGGGCTTGAACCCACGACCCTGAGAACAGGAGTTGCATGCTCTACCCCACTGAGCCTGCTAGCTGTCTCGATGTATTTAGTTTTCGTAAAACTTTTCAGATACACACAATGCCTAGGCTTTTGCAGGAAAGGCGTGTGTGCACTAAAACCAAACTCTTTTCGACTTGATGAAGGATGATGGAGATTGATTGTCCTACAATTTTATCTTCCAGGTGATCATTTGAAGATCTGTCCCCAGGGCTATACCTGCTGCTCTCAGGAGATGGAGGAGAAATACAGCCTGCAAAGTAAAGATGATTTCAAAAGTGTGGTCAGCGAACAGTGCGATCAGTTGCAAGCTGTCTTTGCTTCCCGTTACAAGAAGTTTGATGGTAGGTGCGGGAACTTCGGTCCCAGTAAGCAGCAGTATGTGCTTTGTCCTTGAATCCGTTTGACACCTTTTCTGCAAGTCATGGTTCAGAGGCGACAGTTCAGTTTCCACGACTGCTTTCTCGGAACTCCCAAGACTTTCTCCTTGTTGGATCCTAAGGGCCAGTTAGCCTTCCAGCTTCACTGCTGGGATCCGTCTGGATGCACTAGAATCTGTATGGTAGGCATTATGGAAATATGGTTGCAAAGAGCCAAAAAAGAGATTGAAGTAGTTTCATTTAAGGGCTTTCATTTATTTTCTTGGGTGAACACAAAATAGTGCTGTTGACGCAAGTCACTTAAAAAAAAAATCTCCCTAATAGAAAGCAGGCAGGCATCTGAAGACTTAGAATAAGCATAGAGATTCTGCAGATGCTGGACTTCAAATTAAGTTGCAAACTGGATTTCCCAGAGATAACTAGAATTCCTAGAAGCCCCATAGAACACAGATAGGGTTAAAACTCAGCTCTTAAGTTGGCATGCAGCAGTGGCCCAGGAGTAGCTACCATATTTATAATTGTTGTTAAGCTGGGCTTCATCCCTTAGCTGGCACTTTGGCTTAGTCTATCCATGTAAAGCCACGACCAGACCCATTTCAGTCCTCTGTGCCAAACATGAATTCTCATACGCATGCTGTCTTCTAATAGTGAAGAAATAGCCCATCTGAGCCAAGTGAGAGGCACGTCAATCATATCTGAAGCAATGTTACAGATGATAGACTTGAAAAACTCTGGAGTATGGGGTCCAAAACACCTCAGGATTCTCTTCTCTGGTGTTCTTCACTCAGTTTGAAGATTGTTATGAAGTAGATTTAATTTTAATAGGAATGATTTCCTTTTTGCCTGTTTTAAAGGCCATTCTAATTACATAGTACCTTTGAAGCATGCTTTTCTTGACATTATGTGTGGTGAAGAAGTACAAGGCAAATTTTCGAGATGTGAAATGTCTTTGAGTATTTCTGCAAAGGGCTTGTTACCATGGTGAGAAGTTGGACTAAATTAGATTTATATAGCTGATAAGGCAATCCCCAGCTAAAGAACAGGTTGTATTTCAAATGTTGGCTTTTGAGATTCCTTATTTGAAACTTATAACCGATTTAATAGGTGTTAGGTTCCCAGGCTAGGCCAAGAGAGCATATTGAGTTTGTAACGTAGTTGAACTAAAGTTTTCTCTGTGTAGCATGTCATTTATCATACCCATTCTGCCACCAGTTACCGTGCAAAATCGTATTCCTTCAGTCTCGATTTTATGTCCTCCTTTTCTTGGATGGGTGAAAATGTTCTATGTATCTATATATCCTGTTTATCAGTCCACACCCCCCCACACGTGTGCTATAACCATTAAAAGTACTTAACAACATGTTAACACCATGTGAAGGTGGGTGTTATTGTCAAAAGACATCATTAGGCCACCTCTGTCTCTCTTGGTCACTAAACTGTTAGCATAATTATTGAGTTTCTCTTGGTCACTAAACTGTTAGTGTAATTATTGAAAAGGATGGTAATTTACTTGACTCTGGCATTTCTCATTCAAGACCGTAACCTTAGCATTTTCTTTTACTTTGAGGAGAATACTTAGAAAGATAATCAGATGGCCATCTTTGAAAACTTGAGATGCTGAAATACAAAAATGACCCCTTGGGGTTTAATAAGGGCATTTAGATGGGAAAAAGTCCTGCTCTTCACAAATGGCAGGCCCGTTGGTAGCATGATGGAGTGGAGATCAAGCTGTTTTCAAGTTCTGCCACCTCCCAGTGGCCCCATTTCCTGTTAGACGTGTCTCCTCCGGGTGCGGAGCCCATGGACATTGTGACCTCTCTCACCTAAGGGCCTGCTGCTTAAGCTATTCTTTCCCCTTCCCGCTCCCCATGGTTTTATAGCGTTACTCCTATGATTCCAGTGTGTAGTTTTTAAAAAGCCATACAGAGAAACACTATCAGTAAGTGTTAACATATGTTTTTTTAAGACGGACGGAAAAACAGTTTCTCTGGCCTTTCCCTACCAGGTTTCACATTCAATAAATGTGTTAACACTGTTTGTTTCTCAGTTTCAAAACTGGTCATGAAAATTGATTATGAAACTTTAGTTTGTTTCTTCTGACTTCAAATTAAAACATGGCGTAGACAATAAAGGTACTGAGCACAGAGTAAATTTCTTTTGAAGGAGTAGTAGTTGAAATGTGTTTGGCCCGGAGATCAGAACAGAGCTGGGATGCATTGCCTATTTCCTTCCAGCCAGGTTTTCTGGGATAATTAAAAGCTTTTGTATGGTAAAACCCCAGTTGACTGGTATCCAACAAACCATAATCCTCAAGTGGGCACCATGTTTGTTGACTGATTTTTAAGGGTGGCAGTTAGGACCCGTCAGTACTCCTTATGCCTAAAGAGGAGGTTGAGTGAAATTGTATAGGGGTTGTCTTGATGCTCAGAAATCCAAGGGCAGGGTGCTTGGTCCAAGAATGGTCCAGGCCATTATAAAGGACAAGCCCGAAGTTACTGATGTGAATGAAAGAGAGGAGGTTGGGCCGAGCAACAAGATGGCCACTGGAGAACCAAGCTGTGGTGGCCAAGTGGCACGAAGAAGGCTGACAAGTCTTGAGGAAATAGGATAGGGACACATGGAAACCTACAAGGTCAGGCAACTTCAAAGGAGCATCTTTTGCCATCTCTAAGCTTATGGTATAAATTTGAAGTGGTGACCCTGAGCCCAGGCAACTTTCTCTACCATCAAAACTCAAGTCCTGTTGATGAGATACCACTTCTTTCTATGGCCGGAACAGGTTATTTATTTATTAGAGAGAGCGTACACACACAAGCGGTGGGTGAGGGCAGGGCAGAGGGAGAGGGAGAAGCAGCTGGATCCCAGGAGCCTGATATCATGACCTGAGCTGAAGGCAGACACTTAACCAACTGAGCCACCCAGGCGCCCCTGTTAGAAACTTTTCAACAAAAATAAGGTTGATAGGCTTTTAGCAGGTCAGCCTTCTTTAACTGGAAACCATCCCATTACCTCAAATTTCTATCTTTCTTCCTCAAGGAGCTCCAGAGTTCAAGTGCCAGTCTTGGCGTTTCGGAGCCAGTTCCCTTATCTCTAAAGGCTTTCTTTTATTCTACATGTTTAATTTTTTTTACACGTTTAATTTTTTATTGTTTGCCCATCTAAAGAGATTATACAGTCTGTAAATCTATTTTTAAGTTATAAACTGTGTGCATGCATGTGTTTTCAGACCTAGCTAAAGTACAGAAGCATACTTCCTTAGGCAGCATCCCTCCCCACCGGAATTCTCAGGATTCTCCTATTTTAAACTTGTAGATCTGAGTTTAAGGTCTCACCTCTTTATTTTTCTACACTGTAATCTCCCTTATGTACACTTGAACTGAGGAAGTTCCATACCTAGGCTAGAGACCTAGAGCCAGAAAGGGAAGTGGCAGAGCTAGCTGCTCCCCCTCTTGGTGGGTTCTGGGAAAAAAATTTTTTTTCTTTTTTTTTTTTTTGAAGTAGAACTGCTAATTAACATAGCTGAATGGGTTGTCTCATGAATATGCTAATCAGATGCTCAGTTCAGGGGTTTTGAAAGAATTGCCAGGCAAAGGAGTAGAAATAATAGAAGTGGGGCATAATCCGTGTTTTAGGACCACAACATAAAGGCCCACCCCAAAATGTCGCGTTTTGTGAGAGACTAGTTGTTTTTAAAAGAAGCATAGTTCAATCAAACAACCCAAATAGATTAAAAAGATTAGAGCTGCCACGTTAAATATATCTCTGAATCACACAGTAAAAATGAAGTAACAAATATGAAAATACATTTTTGCTTCACTTCCCGAATCAAATGGTTTGCATGCTGAAGAAATCTTAAGGAAATGGAGATGTCTGAGGCCAGTGCATTGCAAAAAGTGTTAATTCCTCATTTTAGGGAACAAATGTAGTAACTTCAGGAAGCAGAGCACATTGAATTGTCAGCCTGGTTCTGTTGTGAACCCACTGTGACCCGCGGCAATTAACTGGGTCTCAGTTTTCCCATCCATAAAATGAGGGGGTTGAGCTCGATGGTCTCTATAAAGACCCTTTCAGTTCTAAAAATTCTGTGAATCTTCTAAACATGTGACTGGACCAGCTGCTTTAGTGAAAGGTCTCACAAGATGTTAATTAGCCGCCTGTCTGGTACCCTCTATTTTCCTGCTATCATTTCTTAACTCCACTACTTTCCCCAGGTCTTTGAAAACCCTCCCATGAGCCTGAAGCTTGTTAACTCGAATAATAGTAGAAATTTTCTGAATTAGCTTAAAACGCACATAAAAGAAATAATTGTCTGTCCCATCTATCTGCATGGGCCAAGTGTAAATCAAAGTGGCCACCCTTCCCTTAAGCCCTCAAGCCCCCTTGTTTTCTATCACTTCACAAAGGCAGGACGCGTCGCACTCTGCAGATTTAGCCAAATCTGTGTTTTAATCACTGACTGGAAATTTCCCAGAGTTCACAGCGGCTAGCCCTTCATTAGGCCGGTCGGGGAACCAGCGACCAGTGCAGAGGCGCAGGGAGCTGACGGCATTAGCATTCACAGGCCCGTGAAAGCAGTGACCTCAGTGGGAGGAAGCTGGCCACTCACCTTTAAAGGCAAATGTGTCCGACTAAGCTTCATGGCCATTAGCTAAGCTGAAATTTCTGGAATTTTCCTGACCTTTGACCTTCACTATTTCTTCAGCTACGTCCTTTTATTCTTGTGCTCTGCACCTCCATGTCGACTGGCTGAAGACCCCTGGGGAAGGTCTTTATGTTTATTAAAAAGCAAGTCTTAAATATCCTCCAAAATAAACATGTAGTAGGAATGTAGTACATACATCCATCCTAGGGGGGTGACTTTTAATTTTTTTTAATTTTTAAAAAAATTTTTTAACTTTTTTCAGTGTTCCAAAATTCATTGTTTATGCATCACACCCAGTACTCCATGCAGTACGTGCCCTCTT